TCAACTTTAGAATAAGATGTAATGAATCTTGAGTGCAGACGACACTCTGAAAATTCAGGCCCACTTATAAGACACAAAAATCCATTGTATCTTGTAGTCTGAGAGTCTCACTTTCCAAAGATTTTCCAAAGAAGACGTCCTGCTTTTTTCATAGATGTACGTCCCAGAGTGTCTAGTTACAGAATCTGAAAACCGCAGATCTCTAGCTCTCTTCGTTGGAAAGTTATTAAACATTTTGCCGGAGCGCATTCTTTTTAAATTTCGATAATATGTATGTTTGAAATTTTCGAACTGAAAAAAGTATCGGCCCCAGAAATTTCGGTATAACTGCGTTTCCAGTTAAAAAACGAATAGTGGTGATACCAGGTTACCGTGATTGTGTAGACAACACTCTGAAAGTTCAAGTCCCCTTTTAAGACAAAAATCTATTTTATCTTTGTAGTCTGGAAATTTTTTTTCCAAAGATTGATCAAGTAGACAACCTGTTCACATCATTGTTATCATACAATAAAACATTTAATTGTAAACATCACTCATTCAACTTCAAGAATATTTCTGATTCATGTCCACTATCAAGAAATATAGTTTTACTATAAGAAAGCCGATTAAAAAACTCCAGTATCCCTATTGATTTTAATGTATTTTTCCAGTGGCACATTTCAGAATAATGAAAATACGGATATATTATCATATCTCCGCGTACAAGATTAGCGTCGACGATGAACAGAAATCTTTGGCAAGAAACGGAAACTAGAGATCTACAACCAGACCCGATCTTAGGGTCGGAACGGATTCGAGTTGAACTTTTTGCAGCACAATTCAAAATATAGATAATCATTTCACTTTTGTTTTACTCTTTGACTCGAAAGTGATCTCTACTGGAGTTCTCAGTTTAAATATTTATTTTAAAACAACTGCATCCACAAAGCCGATTAATGATCGCTTTCTTTGCACACAAGGTTGTCAGATCGAGTTGAATTCGGGCTCAGATGTTGTCAGATCGGGTGGGATTTGAGTCAGTATTTTGATAGTCAGATCGGCTTCGAGTTACATTTTCTTAACCCGTGCATATCTCAAATTGAAACCACAACAAAATTAGAAAAATTAACAAAATAAATGGACAATAACAATCATATTTAGTTTTGATTTCCAGAAAAATTGCTAGTTGCAGATTCTTAACGACTGCTCGGAGACAGATACAAATACATGAAGATTAAACTTATTCCTAAAAGTCTTTGTGAAAATTGCTTATTGTTATCACCTCCTGTTGAAGTAGTTGAAGATATAAAACATTTTTTCCTTAAATATCCTCATTATACTCGTCCACGAAATATATTATTCGCTAAACTTCATAATGCAGGCATTAAAGTAGACTTGGATACCATTCTCTTGAAGAATATTTTGAATAAACAGACATTTCTTTTTGTTTATGACTGTGTATGTGTCTTCATTTCGGATACTAAACATTGTTAACTGACTGACTGCGTGATTACTTTGATATTGAAGCTGATACATTCCTTTTCCATTAAATCTGTATACATCGTTTGAAAGGCGTCTCTCTCTCACCCGCAGAGTCATTTGATCACTTCAACTACTCCTCTACTCTTCAACATGCTTTACAAATTTCTTTTCTTTAATCATATTTCTTTGTACCAGTAATCAATTTTTCTTATTCGTTTTTTTTTCCTATTTTGTATTTTGTATGTCTGTTATTATATTTCCTACTCATTTGTTCTTTAAGACTCTTTTACAAATTGATACAACTGTGATTTCGATTTGTTTTAAGATCTTCTTTTACTCTCAAATAAAGTTTATACCAAAAGAAATAGAGGAGAACAGGTAGAATCGACTGAGTTTTAGCAAATCAGTTATGTTATCCTTTTCTCAGCCATCGTAGAAAAAGCTATATTTATTTCAAAAGATAAATATAAAAGAAAGTAGAGAATAGCAAATAGGAATGATATTTCACTAGAAAAAATACTTTTTCTTGTTGTCTTTTTTCCCCATACTATAATACTAGAACACATACATAAACATTTTCTGCATTACGAGCTCTAATTCCATACGCTAAACGTCATTCAAAATTATCTGTCGTTCCCATTGACTATCGTCGTCTTATTTAGCACAGTGATATAAAACGACCATTCAATTAGACCCGATACTTTAACAAAACCATATAACAAAACAAAAGTGAACAGAATTATAATCCTCCTCCTCCATATTGCTTAAATCATCAAGTACACTAAAAAGTTGCTTTTACTCGGAAAACTTTTATAAGCATCATCTCACCATCCTCTGATTTTTCATTTTATTTACCGGGAGGAACTATACTGATCTTCAGTATCAAAAGGAAGACAGGTTTGCTTTAACTGAACTGATTGCGTACAAAATAAGAGAAAAGTGCATGAGATTAATTCAATTTACCTGTCATACTCATTGGTCAGATTTTCAAATGGGCATCTGTTGATTCCATGCTCATGTGGTGTCAATTTGTCCATTGATCCTTTAATAATACGAGTTTTTGTTTAACTTCAATAAACAAAGCAAGCTCACGTATACGTTGATATTTATTAATGAGAACTTAAACTGGAATTACTTTTGAAATGTCGATCATGCAGCATGTTGGCTTATAGATTTATGACACTAATTAGCAGAAAAATTTGGATAAATGTTGACTTTTCAGTAGTGCTTAGCAGCAGCGAACACGTATCTTTTCTGTTATGCTGTACTTTCTAGTAAAAGCTGTTAGTTACTTTTCATTTAGCTTTTGATTTGTGGAATCCATAATCCCCTTTGTTGATATATTAAGCAGAAGGTAGCTGTAATCATGGGTATTTCTCAAGTTAAATTTTAATATTTTGAAAAAATCAAAACGAAACGAATAAATGTATTATGGTAAACCCATACACAAATAGATTTGTAGGAAAAAAAAAGTTCACACATATAGAAGAAAAAGAACACAGTGGAAAGAAATGAGATTTTTTTTGTTAAAAAACATCGGGTTCAACAATATTTAGCCAAATGCACAATGAAATATAATAAATAGTTTCAAAACGAAAGAAGAAGCCACCAATATGTTTGTAAGAGTAAAAAGAACTAGAAAATAAATGTTTATATAAAGCGAGAAGGAAGGTAACAATTATTTTAATTAAAAAAAAACAACAGAGTTATTATATGCAATTTTCATTTTCTTCAACACCATGGAAATGTATATTAGGCACACAAGCTCAGATTCAAAATCCTTATATATTTAACAGTGTCCAGAAAATAAATAACATTTTAAGTTGTGAATCAATTTTTACTACTTATTAAGTTATGAGTACAACTGATGTATCAAATTATAAAATTTCTCATTAATATGAATAAAGCTATGAATTATGTCGAACAAAATATTTCATAACTAGCATTATTAAATGATTCTCGAGAAAACTAATCAATGAACGAAACCTGAGTAACAATAAAACATTTGTACATAAATATTATTTACAAGAAAACGAGTAATGCATGAAAATTAGAACATTTTTGTTTTCTTTTTTCTTCTTTCTCAAATACATTTCGAAGACCTCCAATTCTAGACTCAAAAGAGTTCAAATGTTTTACTCTACAAAATCTTCTACATTCGGCATTCATGTATTGTTTATTTGAAAAAAAAATAATGCCGAGTGACTTTTTCATTGAATTAATTCTGTTAAAAAAAAAAAATTTCAAATATTCTACCACTAACGATGGATGATTTCAAAATGAGAGGTCATTTCTATATCTAAATTTTTATAGCACACCGTACGATTTCGTAAATCCTTTTTCGACATGAAAGATAGAGAGTTTTTGCTCTACAAAATCCAGTATGTTGTACACTCATATGACATTCTTTAAGTAGGCTTTTCCTGCTTTTTTTCACATTTACTACAGAACGAGCTTATTTTTATGGACAAAAATGTTTTGCAGTTTTGATATCCTATAAACAAGCAGTCTAATCATCTAATTCGTTCAAGATATCTATAACCATCCTTCTCGTCCAGCTCTCACCATATTCTGAAAAAGACGGCTCAAAAAGCTGAAAAATATCTAAAACTCGATTGAGCATCCCAATCATAGTCCTTCTCCGTTATTTTTCCAACTAATCAACCGTGTGAATAACGAATATAGAGATGTGAAGAAAAAACTCTTTATCTTTTGAGTCTAGAATGGAGTTTTCAAAATGTAATTTAGCATTAGAAAAGAAGAAAACAGACATGTTTTCCCTTTTTTTTCCCTACATCACTCTTTAATATTATATTTATGGTTTCATTTTTCTTGCTGTACGTTGTTTTTCAAATCGATTTTCCATTTCAATTAATACTTGTGGACTATAGCGGACAACTAATTTTACCGCGCCTTGTGCTTGTTTCAATAATTCTACAGCTTTTTCATGATATTCATTTTCAACCGATACACCATTGACTGATAATAATTGATCACCTTTTTTCAATCCACCATGTTTGAAAGCAACACCATTGGGAATTATACGTGAAATATAAATTGGCGAATTTTGTTCACGACCACCCATAACATTAAAACCAAGACCTTCTGGAGTTTTAGGTAATTCGATAACTCGTGGATGAGAATGTCCTTCAGATGCTGCAAATGCGGCAACCTGAAAACAGAAATGATGATTATATTAATATTTTATTCATATGTTATTATTTTTTCTTCAATAAAACATACGGTGGCTTTTGCTGTTGCATTTGCTCGAACATCAGGTGATCCAGTTATTTGAACTGTTTCATATATTTTTTCATAAACTTCTAAGACGGCATGAAAAAAATCACTTTGTAATATACGTTGTAATTCTAATAATTTTTGTTCTGGTATTTCACTATTTGTACGCAATTTTTCTAATAAAAAAATTGCACGATCAACATCTTTTTCTAAATTAAGTCCTTCAGCTGACATGTTTTTCTTATCTGAAATAACACAAAAAAATATACAGTGTATTAAAACAAAAAATATCAAATGTAATACATCGTCATAAACGTGACTTGAATTAAAACTATAAAACTATGGATTTTTTTCTTATTTTCATCAAAAGTAACCAACAAAAATAACAAATAAAAATAAAATTAACCAAATAAAATTAAAAAGAATATCGTAATAATATTGAAGGCAATCAATGGTACTCGCATAACAGTTCGAACAGATCGAATTAAATTGAGTGCTTGACTTTTAGGACCAGGCTCATCTCCATAGCCGGGTATTGACTGCTGACCAGAACTCACTAGAAAACAAGCAAAAAAAAAAGTCAATGATAATTTGAATATAAAAAATTTGATTTTTTTTAATTACATTTTGATAAAAATCTTTGTTCATTTAAAATAGCAATGGCATTCACACATAATAAACCAGCTTCAATTAAACTATACAATGTAAAAACCATATCTTATTTGTTTTATCTAAAAAAGAAAGGGAAAATGACGATAATTTTTTTAATGTTTTTTGCTATACATCTTCTTCATCATTGTACTATAGCCTTTTTTAATAACGATCGAAAAACTTTTCAAACTGTCAAGAAGTGCAATGGTCAACAGTTATTTTCAAATATTATTTAGCGATTTTCTATCAATGTAATACAAAGTAAAAGAACATGATTTTTTTGTTTTTGATCACCTGGTGTTCATCTGATATTTCATAATGTAAATATGTAGATAAATACAAATTATCCGGTCTAAAAAAATGTACAAATAATTAAAAAAAAAAAAAAATTTGTTCTAAAGCGAAAATGGAATAAATAATAAATAAATATGAAACAGAAAACAAAAAAAGCACCAAAGCATTTTTTTTCTTCTTTAAAAAGACAACGGCTTTAAATTTGTTAATTTAAAACAAAAATATCCTAGTAATAATGACACGAAAGATCAACAAAGTGTGAGATATGTGAATAACAAGGACGAATAAAAAATAGAAATTTATGTAGCACCCGGAACAAAGGATATAAATATTTCTGAACAGTAAGAAGAAAATATGATCAAAATATTGTTCAATTGTTCAAATAGAAGATCATACTTTTTAAAGATTTCATCTTTTAAAAAAATAATTGTTGATAAAATGTACAGAAAATAAATATTTGACGCGCATTTCATTCTATTTTTAAATAACAAAAATATCAATTTAGAAAATTATTAGTAAATCTTTGGTTTTCAAAATTGATTTTTATTATCTAGAGATATTTAAGTCAACGAAATTTGATGATTTGTTTCACATTTCAGATCATGTTTTATCAAAAATCTAGTAGAGACTAATGAAAACAAAAACAAAAAAAAAGGTAAAAACTTGACAAGATTAATTTTCATTCGCTTGACGAATTCATTTTTTTAGTGATTAGAGAGGTATACTTTTGTTAATGAATGAGAGCAACTGACTACAAACGACAATTAGACAGAAATTGTCAATATCTTATTTCAAAAAAACTAAACCATGCATTTTTAGCAATTTAAAAAAATAAATATGATCTAGTTAAACTATTGAGATTCACGAAAAAATTAGAAAAATATATAAAATAGACTTGTACCATTTGTGTTTTAGTGAGTAATATAACATCTGTTAGTCTTCTGTGGAAGATCTTAAACATCGAATAATAATAATATTTTCTATCTGACTTAACAGCGATGACGATATGCTCTTCTTCTATACTATTTAAAAAAATTATATGACTATTAAAAATAATGAATTTTTATCTTTTTCCATTTACAATATTTGTAGTAGTGGGTTTTTGTACAGACGATTCGGAATGTAGAGCTTTTTTTATCATATTTTCATATTGTTTAAGATCAAAATCTGTGGCTGGAAATGATCGATGTTTTAAATGTAACAAATTAATATAATCTGTTTCCGTATATTCTTGTCCTTTTTCTTCAAGAATTCCAATAATTTCATCTGGTTTCGAATATAATAGTTCAAAGTATCTATGTGCACGCATTAATTCTGCATCACCACCACCTATTGTACGAATTTGTGTAAGTGTTTGTTCAATACTAAATATATTTCGACACATTTTTGTAATACCCGTTTCACTAATACGTCTAAAACGTTTTGATGATCGAATAAGATTTGTTGCCAAAAAAGAACCTAATCCTTGAAATAAATATTGAAATTTTTGATCACCTAAACTTGATATTAATGTTTCTTGTAAACGTGATAAATCACGATTTAAATTAAGAATATTTTCATCTGGATCAGTATCAATTGCTAATGAATAATGTGAATGATTACGAAATAAAAGTGATAAATGATAAAAACAATGTAAACGAATTTCTAAGTATAGTACAAGTAGCATATCATAAGATAATGTAAAAATAGTTTTCATAGCATTCGAAAATATTTCTAAATTAGCATGAGATAATTTTAATAAACTATATTTATGTTGAACATGTTTTTGACGATTTAGAGTTGAAATAATTGGATTTGAATTCACTAAAACAATGATATATGTAAATAAAGCAATATTTTATACAATATTTATTTCTTACCTGTTGTATACTGATTATTTACTGATTGTTGTGTTAAATGATCAAGATAAGTTGGATCATTTAAACATTTTTCTAATATATCAAAATAATAGGATAATTTATCATATAACCAATCTAAACTTTCATGACAATTTGCCAATAATTTAATTTGTTTATAATTTGTACATATATCATCTAAATTCATTTTATGACGATTAAAGTTAATTAATAATGTTTCAGTTTCTTTCATTTGTCGATAGCGTATATTATCAATATTTTCATTTATTTCAGAATTTATTTTTGCTGATGTTGTTAATATGCTATTTGAAGATCTTGTTCGATTTCGAATAAGTGCATCAAATGCGGGCAGTGTTCGTAAATGACGATTTATATCCACATCTCTTACCTAAAACAATAGAAAAGACAATAAGATTTTAGATGCTAATCTGTGCATTCATTTATAAATGTTTTGTTCGCTAATCAAAACTACTGGCTTACCCATTCCATTGAATAAATAGACAATGGTGCTATTATACCATTAGTATTGTTACTGACGTAATCGGGTCGTTCAACAATGAATGTAAATAATTTTTGACACGATTCTCGATGTTTAAATAATAAATCGATAATAGCTTGACAAAAGTCATCTGCATAAGTTGGTAAACATTTTACAAGTGAACATAATTCTTCACAACTTTTATAAATTAAATATGTACTCTGTAATATTGGGACATGAATATGTAATTGTTTCTGTAAAACTAATGGAATCAATTTAATAAGACGATTATTATCGTTGTTTGTATTGGACGATGATGTTGAAACAATTTGAGCTGATTCTCGAATATCTTTGATGACACGACCAATAAAACGATCACGAATGAATTCTGTGAGCTTTCTAAATAGAGAAAACTGATAATAGTTCAACAATATTATATAATACAAGAACTCTTGAATTCCAAATAACGAGATCTCTTACTATTCGTAAAAAGATGATCGTTTGACGTATGACGACTAACTAGTAGACAGATATGAAAGCTGATGAGTTTCCTCTATCGGATACGGCATTAGTCAATAGGAATAGTTAACAGTTCCTAAAAACGGGTCGATGGAACTGGTGACCAGTTCTCGTTCTTTTCAAAAGAACTGACCTGATAATCAGTTCTTTTTACTACTTCTTGGGAACTCTAAGAACCAGAACTGCTCTATTCTTATCTTGAACAATGCCTCAAAAATATGAAACGTAGACGTATCACTTCATTTTTGTTAAACGTTTAAGAAGTATTGATACATCAGGCAATGACCAGATCCATACCTATCTAGAATTCTTTTCGTTGAATGTAATTTTATATTTTGATCAATATCTTCAATAATTCGCTGTAATACATGATGAACAGTTGTTATATTTCGATAATTTGGTTTACAGACATATTGTTTATAAATGCCGGGTGTTGACGTGTTAGCAGATGATAATGGGTCAGTAGGTATCATTGTAGTTATCGCTACTGTTGGTTTTGAAGGTAAAAAACGATTTTGTTCTTGAAAATAATTTGTCATTGATACGACTTGTGCGGAATGCTGAAACTCAAATAATTTTTGCTGCTGTGGTCGTTGTTGTGTAGATTTTTTTGTTAAATAAGGTGAAAAATCAGTAAGACTATGATGATGTGAGTAATCTTGTTGTGGTGGAAATTCAACAGTGTTATTGTAATCGATATATTCGTTTAATACCTCACTTAAAACAAGTTGTAAGGTTTCCCAAACAATTTCAATTGAAAATAGACACGGAATTTCGAATTGCACTGGTTGATGATTGGATTGGGAAGAGAATGATTGTTGCTGCTGATGGATAGTTCCTTGTTGCTCAATTAAATAACGCTTTGAAGTCATACTTTTTGAATCTAAAATACCAAATTTTCAATATTAGAATTACAAAGAAATTATTCACATTCTAAGCAGAGTCAGTTTTCTCTAAAGTTTGAGCAGGTCAACCGTATAATAGTGATGCATTATAACGACAGACAGTCCGTATCTTGCCCGATTTGGCACTGTTGCGCGTTCAGGCCAGATTGGTACTGCCCGTTCTGGTAAGGTGTCTTGTCTGATCAGGCAGCCTTTTGTCCTTGTCTGATCAGGAAATATTGCTCGAACAGGCAAGTTTGCCCGATCGGGTAAGGTATTCCTGAGGCAGATATAGTTGATCAGTTTGCTGGCCGTACAAGAAAGCATCATATCATCCAAGAAAAACTCTATTTGATGCAGTTTTTGCCGCTCTATCATGTAGAATAAGTGTCTACACTTTTTACCGTAGCTTCGATTAATGCGCTAATCCGTTGAAAGAAAAAAGTGTGGAAATCTTGCCAAAACGGGTAAGATACTCCTTGCCCGATCGGACTATATTGCCTGTTCGGGCAATACGTCTTGCCGAAACGGGCCAGAAAGCGTGGCAATAGACTGACAGAGACCCATCAGATACAATCATGAAATAACTTAACAGTTCATAACTCAATATCCATTTTATAAATTTTTCAAAGTGCAAAAGAAAAAATACGTCGCTTTTAAAAAAGCTTCGATTTTGATAGCAAAATTTCTTCAGCTCCTTTTACCTATAACATTTTGTCATTCTGAGTTTTAAACGAAACAGATCCTCGGCTCAGAGATTTGTGACGATGAGAAAGATCGACAGAACTCCTCAACGGTATGATCTTGTTGAGCTTCGTTACGATATGTTGCTCGTTTACAATCTAAGTGCAGTCCTTTCGTACGATAGATCAGCTCAATTAACTAGAATAAAATTTCGTCTTTTCGCGCGTTACGTTCTTACCGTATTTTTTTTGCGCTTTTAAATTAAAATAGTACTGTTTTTGTTGTATTTGTACAGGAGAATTTTGTTCATTAATTAACCTCAATACTCCTAAAACATATTCGAACGATTTCACAACTAATTTAAACTGTTCATAACATGTTTCGAGTAAATCTCTTAAATTATCGGGATTGTTCAATGTTAGAGATGTAGATGTGGCCGTACTCGTTGATGATAAATTCAAAAAATTGTTATCTACAATATGTTGTGTTGTTTTGATAACAATTTTATGTAATTGTCCATGTAATTGTTTTTGAATAAAATCAATTGAATCATTTAAACGCTGTAATATGCCCGATGATTGTAGAAGAACTTCAAGATATAATTCTGATGAATATTTAATATCAACTAATAAATATTTATCTGGTATAATGAAACTCGTCGAATTTTCAAATGTTAATTTTCCTTGATTATAATCATGATCAAATTGTTTGCGTAACAGACAATTTTCACGAATTTTCGAGATGTATGCATGATCTGAATTATCATGATTACCGTTTAATTTTGATGCTGATGCTGTATTCTTATTGCCTAAGATATCATGACAAGATTTTATATACAGCTGATCAATAAGTTCCAATTTTAATGTTTGTTCTAATGATACACGTTCTTCTTTTATTTGAAGATCAATATTGGATAGTGCATTAATTAATCTGAAAGATAAGATAGAAATCAAAAGGATGAACTCGTTCATCGTACAGAAACTCACCTTAGTTCATTGTGTTCTTTTGCTCTTAGTAATAGTAGAGCTGCATGTAAATATAATTTTTTATTTAAATAAAATTGTAATCGAATTGGCACGTGTTTCAATTCGTCAATATTCATATATATTTTAACTAGAGCGTTTTGTTCTGATGTTAATAGCCACAATTTTCGTATATCTTGACGCTTTAATAATAGCAAATTTTTACACTCTTTTAAACGTTCACGTACAGAATTGATTCGAGCTTTAGATTGTTCAATAGAATTATAAATATCACTGAAATATTTGATTAATTCTGTTAAATCTGTTGTTGATGACTTTATACATCGATCAATATTGAGATTTGAACGTTCAAATCTTTCATTAACAAAACGTCGTTGTTGTTCACGAGCTCCGGTATTATCACGATTATACGTTAAATCACGTATAATTTTCATCAAAATAAATGTTGTCGATTTATTATCCATTTATCTAGCTCTCACTTTTAGTAAACAAACAAAAATCTAAAATAAAGAAAAATTCTTTAGAGAACCAGTTTTACTTTATCATTACTTTTTTCTGATCGTTTTGCTTAAACTTGTATGACATTATGATTCTGTGTTGCTTTACGATTGTACAGCAATAATTTGACAGCAGAAAATGAATCTATTAGTAGGATTTTGCAAAGATGAATCGCCAGGGGTGCCCCGATATCTCCGAGGCAGTCAATTTCGGAGTAAATTTTTATGCTTTTAAAAATTGGAGTAAAACTAAAGAAAATAAATATTCACCAGAAGTAGTTTTCTTCTAAAGCAAGACTGAATTTCCTTCTATCTAACTCTATTTACTTTAACACAAAGCCTTATAATATTAAAATACATTTACTGAAGCCATGATTCAGTCTATTCCACTTATCTTATCTTATCTTATTTATGTACATGACAGAAATTTTATTTTCTATCAAACACAGAAAGAGAAAAAACAAATGCTTTACTAAAAATGGAAATCTATGCATTACTCCGAAAATAGAAGTAAATATCTTACTTTTGAAAAGGGTAAATTCCTAACTGCGAAACTGAGAATAAGCCTTTTACTATCAAAATGATCAATAACATTGTTACTATAAAAGGGCAACAATAAAAATAAGAACTTAAGTGTAATTGCGGCTGAAACAGCCTTAATTTGACTAAGAAACTATCAAAATGGAAATAAATATCTTACTCCAAAATTGAGAGTAAACACCTTACTCTGAAAATGGAAATAAGCGCTTCACTTCGAAACTGAGAGTAAGCGTTTTATATTCTAAAAATGAGGGTAATTGTCTTACTCTGAAAATACGAGTAAACGTTTAACTCCGTGGAATATTCTCGTAAGGCAAAGACCTATTTCGGAGTAAATGTTTTCAAATTTTATCGGAGCGCTCCTGTGCCTCGCATTTTCAAAGAGGGACAAGTACATCCAAATCGCGCCAAACTTTTTCTCTAGTGATACAAGAGTGCTTGCTTAACTTCTGGCACTGCATGAACTGCAGTGTTTCTAATGAGAATTGTAATCAAAATGGATTGAACCACTTTGCTCTGAAGCCCAAAGTGGCACTAACCACTTTGTGCTAAACTGCAAAGTGGTCTCGAATAAAGTATCAGCAAGCAGCGTTTATAAAACTGTTTTCTGCTTGGGTTCTAAAACATGGACCTTTCCAGTGTTTCTAATGAGAATTTTCAGCAGAGCGTACACAAACGTGGTAATTAATAAGATCAATCATGATGGCAAAACTAGAGAAGAAAACAAAGTGGAAATTTTAGAAAGCAAAGTGGTTCGCAACGTGGTCTTTTTTACTTTCAAAGTGGAAAACAGAGTGGATTTCATTTTTACAAAGTGGAAGACCACTTTGCTCTCACGGGAACCACTAATCATTAGAAACACTGATGAACTGTAGTTTATTCTTACATATATATCTATAATTGTCTGCTACTACGGGTAAATTCTGGATATAAAAACCGTAGCGAACCAGCGACGTACGCAGCACCAGGAAAAAGATGGGTCATGATCCAGCTCTTAGAAATTTTGTTTTCTTCATTTCGCAGTAGAAAAAAATATTTTGATTGAAATCGAAAATGAAAATGCTACACAAGAACTCCTTTTACTGCGTCCTTTGGCCAAAAAAACGGTTTGGCCCAGCCTTTACTGGAATGGAGACAACGATCAGCGGCGTAACCAGGATTTTTAGACCAATGGGCAAACTTCTATTGTGTCGGAAAAAAACGATGGGCAAAATGGGCAAGGTTTTTGTTGGGGGGTCAAAACATTTGTGGTCCAAAAAGAACACAAAAAAATGAAATGAGGTTTTTTTAATCAAAAATATGCATCAAACTCAAATTTTTACTATCTACAAACTCAAATACACTTACTATCTAATTCAAAAATAAATAAATAATTCTGTCTATCCACACTCTTACATATATCTTACTAAACGTTATACAAAAAAAACTTCATGCGTACATCTCCCAAGTAAAATTTCAATGGGCAAAAACTTACTAGTAAAAATTACAATTGGTAAATCTGCAAGTGAAATGGGCAATTGCCCATTTGCTCTCCCCCCCCGGGATACGTCACTGACAACGATCAATACATCGGATTCGAACCGATCAAATCTCTCATTTATGATTCGCTGTACGCTGGACTTACCGTTTCCTGTGACAAAAACACTACTGCTATAAACGTGGAATGGAAAGACTAATAATTTTTTATTAGCACAAAATCGAGAAATAGACTTATGCGTATTATTAAAAGCTTTGAATTATTCTTTCCTTTAGTATCACCGACACAGCGCAGCAGATGTCGCATCTTTATGCTAAGCTGTTGCTCTACTTAGCCGGATTTAATCTAATCTTCGACAACTTAAACGAACTTAAGAACTTAAGGCACAAAAAAAGAGCTTTTCACCCAAAATCAGTGATATTCGTTTATCCTAGGTGATTTTTCCATCTATTCCAATCGCATATGAGATAGAGAAAGATTGCTTTTGTGTAATTGGACATCCAAGCTACTGTTCATAATCCTTGACAACGTAGATGACTCAACACCGTAAACGAACAAAAGCTTTAAACGTTTATTCCTTTAGCTCAATACTGTGGCTTTAACAGTAAAAATAAATTGTTCTAAACAAAGTTGCCTTCCCATAATTTTTTTCCTTTGTAAAGCGTTTGGTAAAGGATAACACTCGCTTTTCTTATATTAAACGGTCATTCAAGCCCTCGCGAAGAATCATGCTGCAGCAAAAACACATCTTTTTTTGTAAAGCTTTGTATGTCTTGATCTCAATTCTTTATTCAGAATCTTCTGTTTGTATCCAGCATCCCCAATGATAACTGTAGATCTATTTTCAAATTGTGCAGTATGCCGGTAAATTCGTATTTACATTCTATAAACGACCAACAACGTGCAGCCTGGATAAAATTGCACCCAAGAGTCCTTGCTAGAAAAAGTAGTGCATTTAAAACAGACAAAGTTTTATTTTTTAGGGCATGTGTGAATCATCGCAGTTAGTTTTTGACATATATGATAGATTCATCAAAAAAGAATACTCGAAGATAGAAAGTTAGCTGGGTTCAAGTGAGATATATTAAGCATGAAAACTAGACAGGGTACTCAACGTAAATTGACATTGATATTATCAGCTTACGCCTAACTTTGTTTCACGAATGGGCTTGTCCATGCAAAAAGATCAACTTTTACGTAAGTCTGCACCGTTTCGTGAAATAGTTCATAGCTCTACAGTCGAGCAACGTACATAGTTAGGGAACACCTTATTTTGTAGCTTTTCTTTTTTTCAAAAGATTTTTCTATCAAATGATAATTAAGCAAAGTCTGGCACTAACTAGTTTATTTTTGTTACTGTCAGTTGTCGAACAAATAAATTTTTATCGTTTAGTACATCTGCATAATTCATCATGTAGTAGATCTTCTTTTGACACATAGGATAATACTACATGCTGTTTCAAACTGTATTTCAATGATTCAGTCAGTTTTTCAAAAATATTTTTCTCTTGCTTCTTCAATATTATGACTTTTTTCCTTTTTTTCGGACGTAAACAGTTCGGTTTTCGCCCTAAACATTCCACTCTAAATGCTTTGTTGTTTTTATCTTCAACCGTCTTTGAATTTTGGAATGCTGATGAAGTGTGTTGGTGTGTTTTCCGATTTCTCTAAAGCGTTTGACTCTGTTCCTCATTCTCTTTTGTTAAAAAAATTATCTCGTTGTGGTGTGAGTGATTCTTTGTTGTCTCTTCTATCTTCTTATCTCTCGAACTGTTCTTAGTGTGTGCGTGTAAATGATTCTGTCTCTTCTTCTTTTCCTGTTCCGTCTGGTGTTCCTCAAGGCAGTGTGCTTCGACCTCTTTTGTTTCTTGTTTTTATTAATGATCTTCCTCTGTCGCTCCCACCTAATTGTGAAATCTGTCTCTTTGCTGATGATATTTTTTTGATTGTTCCTCTTTCCTCCACTGATTCTTCCAATTTTTCTCACGTTTAAAATTGTATAAACTCTGTTTCTCACTAGTCTTCTTCCAATCTCATGTCTTTAAACGCTTCTAAATGTTGTTGGCTTCCTTTCTCTTCCAACCTCTTTCCGTATGTTTATAATCAACTGTATCTCAATGGTGCTTCTCTCTCTGCTGTATCTTCTGTTCGTTGTCTTGGTGTTCTTGTTTCGCACGATCTTAGGTGGAATGACTATGCCAAGGACATCGCTCTTGCTTGTCGACGCAAGCTTGCAGCGTTAAATCGTGTCTTTGGATTAGCTCCAACCAAAGTTCGGCGTTGAATCTATCTTTCTTCTATCCTTTCTAAAATTGACTATTGCTGTGCCTTGTATGACAATTCGTTTTCTCTTACTGTTCTTGATTCTATAAACAAACTTGCTTCTCGTGTTATTTCTCGCAATTTTGACTTCCGTTCTTCTAGTTCTCCACTTGTGTCTCAACTTTCTCTTCCAAATCTATTTCTTCGTCGTAAATACTTTAGACTTCTACAGTTTTTCAAAATTCATCAGCGTCTAAGTCCTGTCTCTCTTTTTTATACTATTCATCATCCTCACTACTCATCCTTGCGTCTTCATCACTCTAAATATGTTCGCATCCCATCTTCTGTTGTTGGTTTTTCTCCGCAAACGGTACATTCTTCTTTTTTTTATTCAACTATTGCTGACTGGAATAATCTTCCAGAGTTAATTATTCGTCATTCTTCTTTATTGCCTTTCAAAAATTTTCTTTTCTTTTTTTTTTTACTTTTAGTGTTATTTGACTTGAGTCATCGTTATTACAGGTCTATGACCTTTGGTGACTCTCCCTTTTCGTGAATAAAACAGTCTTAATCTTATTCTTAGCTCTACAGCCGAGCAACGTACATAGTTAGGGAACACTTTATTTTGTAGCTTTTCTTTTTTTCAAAAGATTTTTCTATCAAATGATAATTAAGCAAAGTCTGGCACTAACGAGTTTAAGTGACATAAGGTTTTAGGTATACGGTACTTTCGTACAAAGGGCCTTACTACTGCGAATTATAGGCAGGTGTTTAGATTAGAGCTAGACTTTGCTTAATTACCATTTGAAAGAAAAATCCTTAAGCTATAAAATAAAACGCTCCTCAACTGTGTATATTGCTTGGCTGAACAGCTATGAATTTCACAAAACGTTACGAACTCACATTTTTTGGCCAGTACGCTGAATAATACAACATTACTAGCTAGATACTCCGTTGTCTACACACGTTCATTGTCATAAGAAAATAAGAGTAGCAAATACACTCGATGGATCTTACTAACGGTCTACTGTTATCTTATTCTAGTGCAAGATGTCAACAGATAGTCGAAAAGAGTATTTGAATCCTGGAATGATCCTGAAACAATTCTGACGTACAAAATAATTGCTCTATGTGTCGATCACAATTATGAATCAACTAGAGAAGTTCGTACCAATGTCAACAAGAGAAAGCGATCTACATAGACTTCATTTTACTCTGATGATGATGTCACCAGCAGATCGTCAGAACCTAAATCGAAGACAATAAGAAGTGATGATTAATCACTTGACAATACAAATCAAGTCAGTTGCTGTCAAAATAGTTATTATAGCTAAATCGACGAAAGCAAATGTTATTCAAGGTGAATATTAGCATTTGTTGACAAATCGAGGATTAACAGATTGCCACTCTCGGTTCTACGACGACTGGGCGGTTAGGCGACAAGAAGAAGAGTATTTATTTTTTTCTTTATTAACCTATTAGTGTATTGATTTTTATTTTTCGTTCGATATTACAGTTAAATTGGATTGTTACTATAATCAAGTTACAAATAAGCCTTATGAATTTATTTTATCAGAGATATAATTTTTTATCTTTCATTATTGTTTATTAACAGAAACAATTGATGTTTTCTTCTCTTCCAAGGTGCATTTGCATTCGGTTCATTTGAGCATGTAATTTCAAAAAAAGTAAACAAAAACAGTTTATGATCTCTCGAGAAAAAAAGACACAAAAATAACCGAGTGTAAACTTACACACGGCGTTGCCAATCAGCGTACATATGTACCTTTTGGACAGAATTCTCATTAGAAACGTTGTTTGTATTCTAGAATTTGCTTTTCATTTTTGAGAAATAAAGTAATTCTGTTTCTAGATAGTCTAAGAATGTCATCGTATAAATTTGACAATATACCTGATCGATTAGAATGGTCTAAATTAGATTGTGTTGGTCAAATACCAATAGTTCGTGTTGGTCATTCAGCTTGTTTTGTATTAAATGCCATTTTAACGTCGGTGGGAGATGATCACTATGAACGGGGTTGTATTTACATATTAGGCGGAGCAAATCCCTCGCAATGTTTTGCTGATATTCATATGCTAACATTATCATCATTAAAATGGACTAAAATAATTGATAATGAAGAAACACTACGTAAATACGAACATTCGACCGTTTATTATCCATTAAAAAATTCGATCATTTATTTTGGTGGTGCTAATACTGAGAAAAATTTTAATGATGTTAATCAGTTTAACATAGCACAAAAAGCATTTCAGATATTAACTGTTGGTTCGAATATTGTCTCTCCACGTACACATCATACATCAGTAATAATTAACGATAGTTTTTACATATTCAGTGGTGGTGATAAACAAAGTAAAGCCGTTTGTGATAGTGAACTTTATCGTTTTGATATTGAAACTCGTACATGGGAAACCGTACAAGTACATGGTATACCTCCAGAACAACGTCATGGACATTGTATGTTAGCTGTTAATAGAACACTTTATTTACATGGAGGAATGGATAATCGGACATTTTTTAAGACATTATACTCAATTGATTTAGAACAACAGACATTACATTGGACTGAGTATAAAACAGAATCTAATTGGCCAATGGCACGAGCGGCACATGGTGGAGTAGCATGGGATGAGAGACTTTATATTTTTGGTGGTCTAGGACAAGGTGGTCCAGCATTGAACGATCTATGGTCTTGGGATTGTACCACGAAACAATGGACAGAATTATGTTGTCGAAATCAATCAATTATTTCTCCTAGACTTGATTTTGCTTGTTGTTTAATACAAATAGATAAAAGTCGTTTAGAACAGCAGTCACACGAGAATTATGATGAGACGTCATCATCTAATGATTGTCAAAAATCTGTACATAAAAATCTTGTTGCGCTTATGTTTATTCATGGTGGAACAGATACAGAGGGTGAGGTATTTGATGACTGTTTTATACTAAGAATTGATGAAAAATGAGTTAATCATCGTTTTTTTCTCTTTTTTTTTTGTTACTGTCAGTTGTCGAACAAATAAATTTTTATCGTTTAGTACATCTGCATAATTCATCATGTAGTAGATCTTCTTTTGACACATAGGATAATACTACATGCTGTTTCAAACTGTATTTCAATGATTCAGTCAGTTTTTCAAAAATATTTTTCTCTTGCTTCTTCAATATTATGACTTTTTTCCTTTTTTTCGGACGTAAATGCATCAAAATATAAATTAGACAACATAAAAATAAAAATAAAAACCCCCCCAAAAAAAATCAACAGACAGAGAGAAAGAGAGTGTGTAAAATCATCGCACACATAGACACACACCTACACCTACATTGTAGATGAAAAAATGACACACAACAAACCAGTTTTACACTTCGATTGAAAAAAATATATATTTGTTGAAGTATTTGTTTAACTGATTTAGAAGTATGCCATCTTTAATACTCATAAATGGAACAACACATAAAACAGCGTATTTTTTTTGAATGATATGAGCGAAATAGGAACGAAATTATTGCAACAAACAAGATACATTTGAGAAAAAAAAGAGAAGATAAAATTAGCACCATCGATTGACTGGGAAACGAAGCATAATTGTGGGTGATCTATGATCTGTGTTTGCCTTCTATTTATTTTTATTTTTTCATTGTTGTTATTAAAACACCGGTTAGAGAATAATAAACTGAATCAATTTTTGTACGACGTTAGTAAACTGAACAATAAATAATAATAGTAATATAATTTTATTGATCGACATCATTTCTTGTATTTTGGAATTAAAAACGATGTAAAAAAGAAAAATCACCGAGTTGGAATAATAATAATAATAGTAATAATAATAATAGTAATAATAATAATAATAATAATAATAATAATAATAGTAACAATAATCATAGAGAAACTAATAAAACGAACATACTATGTTTCTCACACAAGATAGAGACAACATGTACAAACAGAGATATAAAAAGGAAGGAAAACAGCGAATTTTAATGTAATCGACTAGTAACTAAAATAGAAAATAACAAGTCAAATGAATTATTTCAACAAGAATAATAAAAAAATTAATAAAATTTTTATTTCTAACTAGTTCTATTATCCTTCTAGTTTAGTATTGTTTAAAAAAAAAACCTGATGTTTTAAAAAGCTTACTTTCTAGCTTTTGGTGATGTTTGTCCACAATAAATTTCTATAATAAAAAAAAAAACAAATTTAGATATGAGACATATTTTTGATTTGTTTTTTTATTTTTATGCGTACGATCATTGTCAAAGGATACCAATTCTACTTGTCTGTCGGGTGTTGATGGACAATCATCATTTGTCATCTAAAATATAAAATATAATCATTAAAAACTAAATAAAAATTAAATAAAATATATAAATTTTACTACGATTGATGGACTCTGTCGATATGGTAGTTTTGAAATTTTTAATACGCCTGTCTCATCAAATCGTATATCTTCATCATTGTCTGGTACCATATCAAATATATCATTTGTGGATTTCAAACGTGTACGACCAGACATATCTAAAGGGTATGTTAAAAAATGAAGAAAAAAATTTTGTTTTTTATTCTTGAAAAGAGGAGAATACTTACCTACACCGGCTGCTGTTTTTGTTAATGTATAAATTCGTTGATTATCATAAGCAGATATATTTTCATTCAAATTCAACGGTATCAACGATTCATTCTAAAAAGTAGCAATAAACAATAAGATTTTGTAAAAATCTGACAGAGTTCGTATTATATACTGATTGTTACTTACAATATAATAAACAAATTGTCCAATGGATAATTTTAATTTTTCAAGTATTGGTTGAAGTATTTGGAGTATTGTTCGTTTTGGATCACATCGTATACATAATGAACGTGATGGAAGATCAAGTCGACATAATATACGAATTTCGACACGCACTTCTTTACCAGATAATGTTGAAAATGGTTCTTGAATATCTACAAGCTAAAACAAGAAAAATTTCATTTAAAAAATGAGAAGAATATAATTTAAGAAAATAACTAATAAGAATATTAGATGCTCGTTGTTGTTTAGTTTTCTTTGTACAAATATGAAATATAAATTATTTATCTCTAATATAACCATTGAAATAACAAAACAACAATGCGTTTTTCACTATACATTTTAGAATAGATTACCTTCTGAAGTATTTTGAATAAATTCAGGTTAGATAGGTGATGAAGATATACGATCTCTGCCATTCAATAGTGAAAACTTAAGAAAAAGAAAAGTTCAAAAAAAAATCTTTGTCGAATATAGAATTCTGAGCGAGTCAATTTTTAAATAGTAATATACTTGTTTTTTCATATGATTAATTAATTCAAAGGATCCTCTAGAAAATGGGAATTAATTAGACTCTTTACGGATTATAGTTTGGTGGTAGGATCGAATTTCAGGAGAGTTTCAGAACCAATGAAACATAAATCTATAGGAATCTAGATTATCGTTTACACTGAGTCTCGTCAGAATGTCTATCTTCATTAAAAATTTAGAAATCTAGTATAAATTCATTTTAAGGTAACGATATTTTTTCATGTAAAATTAAAATATTCTCGACTTATTCAGAATAGATTTAGAAAACTTCAGAATATACTTTATTTTAAATATTTTACATGTTGATAAACTTTAACGTACGGTAAATTAGAAGAAAACATCTGAGATCTTGTTACGGAGTTCTCTGAAAACATGAATCTTTGCAACAAGGTCTCAAGATTTCGTACATCCCTATTTACTAACAATGATAATTCTTTCAACAACAATTTGTGTCAGAGATATCAACAGTACAACTAAAGAATTGAATCCATAAAATAGTCGATTATTAGATGTATTGAATAGTTAGTTAATTTGGAGATTTCTTGTTGAATACTTTATTGGAATATCCATTTTCTAGAATCTAAGCGTCAATAAACAGATCCATTTATCGCTACTCATAAGGAAATGTTGACTCTTCGAAAGGTTTATTCGGATGTTTTTCTTATAATTACTTATTGTTCTAAAGCAAAGGTACTAAAAACGAAAACATTACACACCATGATGGAACGGCATTATCCACAATAAAATCGTTCTTATCCTTTTCTTCTTGGTCGATTGACACTCGTCTATGTACTAACACCAGTAAAAAAAATATCCCATCATTTGATAACTAACCTTTTAAGATAATGAAACAACGCCTCCCTGCCAGTCTTATGATCATAGTGCACTACTTTACTTTTGGTCAATATCGTATCTCATATCTAAGATGGTTGATAATAATGTTACAAGGTATTACTGATGGGTTTAAAACTGCCTGAGTTATAACTAATTGGAGTTGAAATTAGTTATAGCTAATTTAACTTTTAGTCAAAAATTTACAATAGTTATAACTATGAACCACAGTTATAACTGTCAACTCGCATTGATTGATATAACTGCAGTTAAGAGAGTTATAACTATTTCAACTTTAGTTATAACTGTGTCATAATACAAACTGAAATGACTTTTGGGTTGGTAGTCATTACTAAAACTGATGCAATTATAACTGGAGTTGGAATGGTTATTACTCTACCCATTTGGAGTTGTAACTCGTTCAACCGTAGTTATATCGATCAACTCGAAGTGATAGTTATAACTGTGATTCATAGTTATAACTAGAGTTTTAATTGTATCAACTTTTAACTTTCAAAAAAGCAGTTTTAAACCCATCAGTGAAAGGTATACATATTTTCTAAATGAAATTATTTAAAGAAATTATAAGAAGTGGATAGTAGATTTTCGCTTATAAACAGTACCATGTGAATAAGTACGCCAATTTTATTTCAGATGAGATGTTGAACTAATAGAACCGATAAGTATGCAAAATGCTTGTGAAATATCAATAGTCAATTTTAAATAAATCAAGTAAATTACATTTCAATAATGCTAATTTTGAAAGCGCATTTTTTTGGCATTCTACATTGATAAAATCGAGAAAAAAAAAACTATTCTGAGAGTCTACTCTCTTTCTCTGTTGACGATGTCTGTAGAACAAAAAATGATCTTATGTGATGTAATATAAAAGAAAAAAACAAAAAAAAAACATTAGAATCTCGAATCTTGATTTCGAAATTGAAAAAAATCTGAACTCAACTAAATTCTAATATCACTAAAAAGAAGTTCCAAGATTGAAGTTACCCATCTCTGATAAGTACGGATGTGAAATCGTAATCAGTGTGAGATATTCTGTTATGTTGTTCTCACAAACAACTGTATTCGACAACAATAATGGCACAACAATAATAAGTACTATATCTTTTTATTTATTTATTATTAATCTTAGTCACAATACTTACTTGATCAGAATTTACTATATATAATTCGCAACGATACCATGTAATACCACGTTTAGCAAATAATCGATTAATCGCTTGTTGAATAGTAATATGATTACAATTAGATGATGGGATAATAGTGGATGTTGAATCAGGAAATAAAAAACGACAAGAACGAGATAAATCAATAGTAGGAGAATCCTAAAATAAAAATATCTATAGAAATATATTACAAATTTATATTTTAAACAATTACGAACTATAAAATTAATTTTTTTAGATGAATCAAAGTTTAATAATGTATTTGCTGATCCACGTCTACTTAATAATTCTGATGCTGCACCAGTTAAATTGGATGATAACAAAGATAAATCGTGATTAGTTTCAGAAAATATAGATGATAGAACAGAAAGATCATTTATATTATTATTATTATTAGTAGTAGTATTTAATGTTGCTATTAATGAAGATGTCGATGGTTTTATTTTATTGTCAAATTTCATTGCCGATGTTTGAAGGCTTGTTGTTGATGTTGGTGTTTTCTCTTTTTCATTAATTGGCTCACGATCACGATCACGTTTTACTAGAACAAAATAATAGAAAGATTTAATTAATAAAAAAAAATATATATTTATTAGTATTAAATTGATTTTTAATTTTTTGACTCAATTTTTATTAGTATAGTAAGACATAGATTATTATTGACAACATCAAGACATTTGCGACACGTAAAGAAAGAATAAGTGTCTAATTTTATTACTGTCGCAAGTTATAATTAACATAAAAGAAAAGAAAATATTTTCATCTATTAGATGAAAATTGAACAAAACAAAAAAAGAAAAACAATTTATTTGAGTGGACAATATTACCTTAGATTAATAGAGTTAAATAATGGATATAAAATTAGAGCTATTTAGTTAATATAAATTTATAAATGAATGATGATATTTTAAAATAAATTACCTGCTAAATATGAAAAGAAATCAATCACAATGTTTTGTAAATTCAGCATCTTCATTGATAGTATTATTAGCCGCCGCTGCAATTAATAAACAATTTTATGGTTTTTTTTCTCATTATTAACATATATTTATGTGTGTGCATAACTAAACACTATGTTCTAGTATATATTTGTTGCTGTTTTAATCGTCATTCATTAAGGAAGGACAAAAAAAAAAAACACAGGAAATTTGCTTTATTTTTGATTGATTTTGTTGTCGTATTTGTTTTAAAATTCAACAATATCAATCAATACATTTATGCATGGGAGGAAGGGAGTGAAGTTGTGTTGTGATTAACTAGTTATAAAATTAAATAAGTGAACAAGTGCAATGCTAATGCTTGATAAAATACAATTCACCTAAAAATAGGAGGTAAAACAAATGTCGGAACAAAATTTAGGTTTTCATTTTTATTTCTTTTTAATATAAAATTTGTTGAATACTAAATTTAAACATTAATTTCTTTTCTTCTTCAGACTTTTTTTTATTTCTGAGTAAAAAACTAAATAAGAAAAATCATTGAAGATTTTACATTATTAGTGTCTTTTTCCATAATGAGGAATAAAAATTGATTGTTTAAAATTTTAACATCTTTCTTTATATTAGTCTAATGATATTTGTCAAAAGATAGGATAGAAAATCATCAAACAACATTCAAAAAGAACATCATTGTACAAAATTTAATCGGATAATTATATTCCATGCATAAAATATGTCAAGAAAAGATATGCATTTCAATCGAAATAAGTAAAATAGAATAGATTCATCTGTCGGACAACAGTCAATTATTTTAATCTATTACTATATGTCATTTTATACACAGAAATATTGATTAAAATTCATTTCATAATTGTATTGAGAATTTATAGATAAAAGACTCATCTGTCATACTTAATTAATATATCTTATTGTTATCAAGTGTTACGAAGGATTGAATAGAAAATAAAAGCAGTTTAAATTCAATATAGAATGAAGTATCAATGGATTATAAGGGAGAGAGAACAACAAAATCACAGCACATGCATCATACTTTCTAAGATAGATAAATATAAAGTTTTGTCTATGTGTTTTCTAGATAATGACAAGCACATGGATAAAACTTAAGCAATCGCGTATATTAAAATCACTATAGAAACACACACGAGAGGTAAATATAATGAATACTCTCAAATAACACTCAAAAAAAATAAAAATAAAAAAACAAGAGAAACTTGCTTGGTTCTGGAGTCGCTAAAAAGACATATATCAGTATCTGTTCTTTTAAAATAAAGTCATTAGATAAATGACGAATAAATTTAGATGAACAAAAGAGTACATACACATATGCATAACAGTATTTTTGGTCATAGGAATATATCGCAATCCAAGAGAGAAACAGGCAGTAGGAAGTGACTGCATCCAATAATTGAAATATTTTCTTATTTTTTCTTTTGCAAGCAAAAACAAACAAACCTCATATTCCTCTAAAAAGTGTCATACTTCATAATAATTTTCTCAAAAATTTCTATTTAAGTATGAAAAAATTTAAGTTTTAGTTACTTTACAGAATTATCAATAAAAATTTTTGATCCCAAACTCTCTCTGTTTCGCCCAGGTTTCAGTTTTTTTTCTGTTGAAAACTTTTTTTGATGCCCATTCGAAATTTAAAGTTTTTTTTAGACTTTCCTATTCATATGCCAACAGAAAGATGTAGTTTGTCCTAGATTTATTCATATTCAGAAGAAAAAAAAGAATGAAAAAATACAAAGAGACGAGTACAGTGAGATGGATTTGATATATAGAACAATAGTTTTCTCTTAATAAAAATATTTGCAATGAGTTTTAGCTTGAACAGTTTATAATTTTCGATGAAAAATGTAAATTTTGAAAATATATTCTATCTGAATATCGTCTCAGTTAACAAAGCAATTTTTATTTTTACCAGAGCATACTTTTTTTTTATGATAAATCAACTATAACTAAAAAATAAGAAAAATGAAGCTAGATGGGAAAAGAAAATGAATTGGACAATATCAACAAATATATTTCATTTCCTTGAATTCGCTTAGACATACATAATAAAGCATATTAGTCAAACAACAATTACACAGCAACAACCATAAACAATAATGAACCAACCTGATAAACGTTTCCACTTAATGAATGCTATAAAAATAATGTATAGATGAAAATATAAGATTTTTAAATACTTATCCATATATCTATTGTATACCTTTAGTCCATGGAAGTAATGGTGAACGTTTTTTATCTTTTTTTTCTTCCTCTTTCAGTTTGGCCTAAAAAATAAAAAAAAATATGTCAATATTAAAATTTAATTCAATAAATAATTTTTATTTTTTGAAACTTTTATTTTTTTCATACCAGACAATCGATTGCTTTTGATCTTTCATCATTATCTCCTCTACTATTCGTTTTATGATGAGGTAAAGATTTTCCTTCCATTTCACTCATAATACAATCTTTGTACATGTTTGATTTTAAAAATCTTGTATAACTGTCATATTTCATTAATTGGAATATCTTAAGTAATGAAAGCAAAAAAAAACAAAAAAAAATAGAAATTGAAAAAACATCTATATCCATTTTACCTGAGATTGAGCTTTTTCAAACATGTTTACATTTGGTGTTTTTAATAATGATTGACATTCTTGTCGCGTTCGACTATCGATATTTATTGGACATGATCCATCGTCTGTATCACTGAGATAAAAGGACCATATAGATCCAGCTTTTTGACGAATCTCGAAGATAAATAACAATAGATACTCTCTGTGTAAAAATTATACTATTATAATTATACCTCATCTAAATCTGACAATTTTTTAAATTTTTCACATTCTACCCAAAATTCAATATTTTCTTGACTAAATTCTTTTTTCAGAAAATCCTAAACACAATAATAATGTCTCTAATGATATACATGATATATAAAGATATTTACACATACAGTAAATATCGATAAGCCCATATCATCATTTAACAATTTTTCAAATCCTACTGCCCAACTTGCTACACGTCCAATTTCTAATTTTTCTTCATCTTGTTCTTCACCACATTTATGGACAGATGTTAAACTATTCGAAATTGATAAACGTGTTGCAGATAAATCAGCAGTCTCTTCATCAGTTACGGCCAAGGACTAAAATGAAAACAAATATGAAAATTAATTAAAAATTAAATAACTTGCATAAGAAGAAAATCCATGTAAATATTTGAACAACATCAGAATAAAATCAGAGACATTATAACCACTTTACTATTTGTATTGATATTTTAAGAAAATTCTCGAGAAAGTTCATAATTAATTTTGTTTTTTCTCTTTTTCTATTCTAGAAGTTATGACCAATTAATTAATTTGTGCATTAGACACACAGATGCCTTAGTAAGGATAAGCACAAGATTGATGTTGTGCATAATTCTTACGATAACAGAATTTTGGTTATTTTTCAATTTAAAAGTTTACGCCTCTTATTCAATTATTTTAGTGGACTATACTACTAAATCTGACCTAAATTTAATACGCTTCTTAGTCTGTACTTCTTTATAACTTTTTTTATTTTTTTTTTGTCATTTATTCAGGAAAAAAATATTCATCGGAATGTGTTCATATTAAAAATTTGAAGTCTCTTGTATCTATGCTCGCGTTTTCAATCTTAATATTTGAAATAGGTTATTTGATCCAGCCAAATCGTATTACGAAAAATAATGTAAAATGTCTTTTAGTTGCTATATACTTTAACATTAAAGATTATTTTCTGCCTTTAAGCAATTTCTTTAGTTGACATAACTGTCAACAAAAATCATATTCAATTTTTTCTAAATACAAACTGATATACACAAATAGAAACGTATTCAAATAACAAAGAAAAAAAGAGATCAATTATTTTGTACGAAGATAATTATGTCTATATAATTCAGCATATTTTTATTAAGTTATAGAGTGATAGAATTATTGGTTCTCTCTTTCTCACTCATTTTTAATGAGAAGAATTTGTTGAATGAAACTATTTATATTTCAAACGCATCACATTCAAAAAGTTGTGATCATTAATAATTGAGTAGAGTTCTGAGAATTTAACTCGATTCTGATTCCAAACTCGTATTCGGGTTGGATTTGAATTCAATTGGACCGGACCGCATTTTACATTTCGAAATCAAATTTCTTTTTTTACGGTAGAATTTTTCTTCACTTCTACTATTTTATTTTAATATAAAAGAAAAACAGAGAGCCTGTTTCTGAGTCTACTAAACGTTTATCACACGAAAGAGGAAGCTAAGCAAATAAAAAATATCGAGTACTGGACAATCCTACCAAGGTAATCCAATCTAATACCTGATATATCTAGATACAAGTAAAAAGACAGTATTGAGTATAGAACAATCCAAGTTAGTTAATTCAATAAAGTAGTCATCGATAGATCTAAATAATCCAATATCTTATCCGATTCTAGATATTAGATTTATTACATGTTCAAGTAAGAAATCTTGTAAAGTATCTAGATACTTTGTTATGATATTGGACAATCTTACTATGAAATATCTAAATATATTGGGCATGACATTGCCCAATACCACAAAAAAATATCAGAATATTTTCATATACAATTTTTTGCTTAGAAAACAAATCTTTTCTTAAAGCTGTTGATTTTCGCTATCATTAAAATTATTGTCACTTTGATTCAGTTTCTACCTCTTTGCTATTAACTGTTTATGATCATCATTTTCATTTGATTATTTTCGCTTTCAAAAATATTTTTGCAGGTTCCAATTCAAAAACGTTCGTAGAACTCTATAGTTAAATAAAAGAGTCAATGAAAACTACGATTTTTTCTTTTAAATGCATCATCAAACACATAAGTTAGCAACGACAACAAAAACAAAATCAAAAAATGAGTATCAACTATTCTGTAGCAATCGAAAGAGAAAGTAAACATTAGTTGACAGAAAGAAAACGTAATCATTTATAATATTTCGTTCAACATATGTCACTAGTCTATTAATGAAATAATTAGCCTTATGATTTTTTTTTCATCTTTTACCGATGACTAAAAAAATAATAGTTACATGCTTGTCTATTAAGATAAATGATCTTAATATACAGCTTTTCGTGAGTTGAACAGGAGTAAGTAAAAATTTGTTAACTCATACTATGAAATGAAGTTTTCAAAGGTTAAAAAAACAGAAATACCTAGCCATACCTTTGTTTTAATAAGTTTTTTTAATGATCTACATGTTTCATGATCAACAGTAACCTGTTTTATCATTATTTGCTGCTTGATTTTAATGCATGTAAACCATAACTCGTTTCTAACAGAAAAAAATTGATTATTAATAATCCCTAATTATTTCTGACATATATAAATTTTCAAAAAGAAGAAAATAAAAAGTGGGAAATTGAGAGATATTTAACATATCCGTTAAAGAAATGTTCAGTAGAAAACGTCAACTATATCTCTATTTTCAATATCAAAATGTACATATGTGACGATGAAAATAATTTATTTCTATTAACGAAAATCCGAGTTAGGATTATTAGATATAGAGAGAGATTTGTTACTTCAATGTCATCAACTATTTTTTTTTATGTGCTTTAATGGTTAGAAGCTAATCATACAAAAAAAAAAAAGAGCAAAAAGAAAATTTTGCTTCCTGTTTATCAATAGATAAAAAAAAAGAAAGAAGAATCTCAGGATATTTTTATATCTTTGAATAAATATACACCTAGAAGTGATGATGCTGCTGTAAGAGCGGATAACGATACAATAGCAAACAATGGCCACTACTTTTATATACACTGTATATACGCAGATAAAATAAGAGAGAAAGAGAAAGAAGGGGAGTACGAGGGAAATGAATGCTTCAGACAAGAAATAAGAGGAGGAGTTTAAAAATTAGAGAAAAAAAAAATCACTGAAAGAAAATTTTTCCGCATTAAGATTTATAGAAAACATTAGTTAAATGAGTATGCATCCAAATTTAATTTCTGTCTTTTAACAATAATAATAGATTACAAATCAGTAGAGAGAAAGAAAATGAATTCCGATGTGGCTGTAACTTCCTGTGTAGGTTGCACTAAAAGAAAAATGAAAAACAGTTTAGTAAGTTATACCTCCCTCGAAAAAATACTCAAATAACTTTTAATTTTATCTGATTATAGTAGTGCATCAAATACATAAAGTTTTTCTTATCTTTACAAAAATGTCCTCAAAAAGGTTCAAATGTCAATATTTTTTCTGTTTTTTGTGCGAAGATGCCAACAAGATTTGAGTTCGTGATTTATTACGGACGTGCAGGATGGCGGAAGACTTCAGTGCTATAGGGTAGGGTAAGATAGGACTAGAGCTAGATAATAGCTCCCCCACACTGGATAGTTTTTGTTAGGCACGTGGACACGTGCTAGAAACGTGATACGAAAGTCTTTAAACGGTCTTTTTATAGGTTTTCGTATGTGCTCTTGTCAATGGCATGGTTTTCAAACTTTCAAAGTATGTTCGTACTGGTTTTTCAGAGACCTAAAACATCTTTAGCTGTGATTTCTTAATGCATACGTAGGAACGCCGACTATTGAACAAACAAAATTGCTGAGTTTACCAGTAACTTATTATTCCTTGAATTATAGATCTGTAATAAACGATGCGTTTCACTATCTCGATTTTATTATTTTTGTCCTTTATTTTTATCTTTCTCTAGCAGAATTCAAGGGCTTTTCTACCGCTTTGTTTTTTTCACATAGATTATGTGTGTTCAATTATACTGTTATCAAGTATTTCGAAAAAACTTTGTGTTTTTCTGTACAATCTCATTTTTTCCATGTTTTGTCCAATATCATAGTAAAACTGAATCAACAATTTTTCCTCTAGTCGCATTGCCGTATGAATCTCTAGAGATTGACACATTATATTTTTACGTTAGGAAGAACAATGAGATATTAGCGATCAAAAAATTGTTGACTTTGGTCCCGTAAAAAGTCAAAATTTTTGTGTCCTAATATCGCGTTCCGATTCAATATATATTTAAGAATAGCGTGTAAAGACAGAACAGATAATGAATTTTTTCTCTTTTTTTAGATTTTTTGTTTGTTTCTTATTATTTATACAGAGTGAATAATCGATAATCATTTTTGTATGATAAACCGTACTCAACGGAAGAGAAAACAGTTGTTAAACGAAAACAAAAGAAAACATTCAGCGAAATTCACGATGTGCAGACACATTCTATCACTTGCCAGAGAATAGTATAACTGACTGTTCTATATACCATGCACAATCTGTTTCATAATTTTTACCCTAAAAGTAACTCTTTACCACAAAAAGTTTTATATAAAAGCTCATTGGTGAGTGTAGGAGTACACAAAAAAACACATATTGTCTAGTATAGCGAAGAAGAAAGCATTTTTTACTTGATAATAATAAAATTCAATGATATTTGACTATTCCCAAGAGAAAAAAGAGCGGGATCGAACTTAATAAAAATTGGGCCGACTACTGATTTCGACGTGTCGAACGGTCATTTGACATAGCATGGTGGAATCAGAACGGTATGAAAGTTCGTTATCCAATCCAAATACATTATTGATACCGTTCTGGCATCAATTCCAACACACGTTTTTTAGTAAAAATTCGCCAGTTCTGATTGGCCGAACGCCTAATGAAAATTTCGTTATCCGTCTTTATAATTGGGATGCCAGTGCGGTTGTTGCTTTATGTTCACTGTAAGTAAAATAAATACTATCCTAATCTTTATCTAGACAATTCTATTCACATTATCTTTGTAAAGATAAAAACTATTTTTATTCTTTAACCCTTTGTCTAGTTAGGGAACAGCTCTATAGACGTTTATGTTAAAAAAGTAAATGGTCAACTTTTTTATTGGTAATCGTGGTTCTACCTTATCTATCGAAGAAGGGTTCACTTCCTCCTCCATATTTTGACATAGTGTGGGCTATGATCCGAAGTGTTTGATTGCATGTCTGAAATGGCACAGTTCAGCAGTAATTAAATAATTAATAATAAAATTTATTTAAAACTTCGATTTCGATGGTATTATGATGAATTCATGATTATGATGAGAGCAAACACTGTGCTTATGTTTCCATAAAATACAGGAATTTCTTTTATAAACAGTGCCGCCATCAAGCTTTTAATCAAATTCCATTAATAATTGTTTGATAAATTAGCACAAAATCAACATTTCATCAAAAAAAACACCAGCGTATATGTCACTCGATGTCCTTTAGAAAGTGACAAAATCTGAAGGTACATATAGGGAGTATACTCCCCCTCTAAAAGTTTGGCCGTGATACAGATCGATTGATCAGAGAAACATGATTTAAATACCTTTTATGCAACAACATCCAACAACAGTTCATTGTCAGTGAAGTTCTTCACTTTCCCCGAAAGAATGCATGATTAATCTATAAGATTAATATGATCAAAAAACATCGTTCATACAAAAGAAGATAGGCTCATTCTTTAGATGGCGTCCAAATTACGAGTTGTGTATTTGACGAACTAATGGGCAAACTTTTCAAACAGATTTTTAGAATTATAGCAGCCGAATAAAATGAGATCATTTTTTATTTTTATTCGCGATATTTCGACTTTACTTGATAATGTCCCGTTAAGTTAATGACCGATATTTATATCTACACGTTGTGTAGTTTTTTCCAAATACACCCTATTACAACTACAAATCTGGCAGAGCTGATCTATGCCTTATTCTGCTCAGAAATGTTTGTTCTACAAAATGGAGTATTTGTTGAACCCACTACTCGGATAATATGCCTTAGAACAAAATGATTTTCAAAAGCTGTAAGCCAACTATAGGAAATACTAAGCGTATTGTTCTTTCTCTCACAATTTTACCAAATAAGCACTTCAAAACAATGCTTAACATCTTGAAGTTTCATAGAATCTTTTTTATAAATTTGTAAGAAACTATACCGATCTTGTCATCAGATATAGTCACTAGTTGGTTTGGGTATCGGAACATATATCGGGATGGGGTGCTGTAGAACGGTTTTGAGAACAGCACGTTCAGAACGCATAAAATAAAGATTACTTTCCAGAATGGAGTCACGATTCCGTCTTTTTTCTCCGAGCGGGATTGGAACACTCATTCTAACAGTTTTTCGTTCGCTTGAGTTCTGATGTTATATATATATATATATATGTTTTATTACTGCTCTTTGTGGGCCTATTAAGACAAATACAATAAGGCGAAAAAAAATTTCTATCAATTAATTAATACGACTAAGAAAAGAGAATACATAATATAAAACTATGTAACAAAGAGAACACGCGAAATATAGCAGTTTACGCAGTTTACTGCATAACTAAGTTCATGTGTTCGAATCTCTAAGCGAACATTTGATACTGTTTTCTAACCATTGGACACACCTGACAAAGATAGATTTATGTGTTACAAATTATTTTGAACGAAAAAGGTTTTTTGATAATTTTTTTTTCTGATATTATTTTAGTCTAAGCGTTTCTTTTTTCAAATGAACTCTACAAACTTATATATATCACATTCAAAAATCTGCGTGGCACTTGCGGATCTTCCCTCGTGAAATGCTTGATGTATAGTTTTGATCAATTTTCAACTATCTATTTTCTACATGTAATACGAAAAGAAAAACATGATACGATGGACGATTAACTGTATGAAATTTTAACTAAAATAGTGAAAATGTTCGGACATATGGAATTTTTGCTACACTCATTCATATAGTAATCTTTTCAATGGTTTTATCATGAAACAATGACACTTTGCGTATCCTTAACATGATAATGCAGTGTTTTACTATCCCATGCCATTTTATACGCCATAGTAGACGATGATATTTATTTTCTTTGAGATTCTAACATAAGACCTCTACTTCTATTCACGTAGAAGAAAGATGGTGTGTGTGTATGTATATGGTGATGAAACTTGAAAATAAAAAACTTGCAAATAAAACAATATAACCTTTTGAGAAATATTGTGTGAAGCGCCATCATTTATTATTGTCTATCATAGTTGCCAAACTTTCTCGATAACACCAAAAAAAACAATATGTATAACATCTGAACTAATCAATTATTTAATAAACGAAATATGATGATGATCTTTCACCATCATTACCTTCTTCCTCTTATTAATTTAATTTCCAAAATAAAACAAAAACTAAGCCATATTATCTAATTATTTATAAATTACTCATTTTCTATTTACGTACCAGATTATGAACACATAATTTATAATCATTAACACTTGATTGTCG